GGAGTGGAGCAAAAGAAAGGAAAGGGCAGAACAGGGATGTGGTGGAGCAGAGCCGGGGTGAGGAGGCAGGGCCTGTAGCGGAGGGCAGTTGGCCCAGCCCTTCCCTGGGCTGGGGAAGTATCACATGACTGGTGGCCTCCCCTGCCAGGAGAGAGGAGTGAAGCCAGTGCCTACCTGAGTCCTGCCACCCCAGGTGGGGAGGGGGCAAAGCCAAACCCCAAACCCCACTCCCCTTGGCAAAGGGTGGTGGTGGTGGTGCAAAGCCATAGCCCTTGGAGGTGGGACTTGGGCTTTGGCCAGTCTAGGAACCCCATTAAAACAGGGTTGCAACCCACTTTGGAGTCCTGACCCACAATTTGAGAACTGCTGTCCTAGATGTATGAACACAGGAACAGCCTGACTGGATTAGACTAGTAGCCTGTCTTGTCCAGCAATCTGTTACGAATAGTGGCTGTTTGATGCTGCAGAAGCTGATGAAGGAGGCTTATTGTGGACAATTACTCATAGTAGGAGTTTCTTTCTAACTCCAGACAGGTACTGTTTGGCTTATGCTCTAAAGCATCAAGTTTATATTGCTAATTCTTTTATCTTATCTAATGAACGGTGGGGAGCTTTCATCGCTCATATAAATAATCCTTTCCTGAATCCTGTTAAATTCCATGGGCCTGGCTCTCACTTAAACTAATTCCCTTTACACTGCTGTTAGGGTTGCCAAGTGCCTCGTTTTCATGAGCAAAGTCTAGTAAAAATGGAGACCTGGAAGTGTCCAGTTAGTTGTACAGACTAGACACCAAAAACCCAGTTACTGCAGAGCAGCAGTGTTGGGTCTTTAAACTGCACCAGCCCTGCTCATCGAGAGTTGTCTCCTACCTGCAGTCAGGCTCCTTGTCAGGTTGCTGTAGCCCAAGCAGAGGGAGCCCAGCTGTGGGTGGAGGGCGTGAGGGAGATGGATCCAGGATCCAGAGAGTGACTGGGGGAGGGTGGGAAGAGGAGCGAGCAATGGGGAAAGGGACTGAAGGGAAGAGGCGGAGAAGGGGTGAGTCCTCAAGAATCCAGTTACGAGCAATTAGAAAGGTGGCATCCCTAAGTGCTCAGACAATATAAAGGGCCTTAAAATGAGATTAAGTTACTTTCACTTTAAGGCCCTTTCAGACTGCCAGAATGATGTAAAATAGCTTTAGTATAACTGCTAGGGCTCAATTATACGTTCTGGCAATGAACAGTGGGAAAAAGTGCCCTTTTTCCATTTAAATGTATTACCTTTCAATTTCATTTAATAGTCAAGGGTATGTTTACACTGCCACCCTAGTTCGAACTAGGAATTTAAATATCCCAGGCTTTATTTGCATGTTTCCATGCACCGCCATTTTTAAATGCCCCGTAGTTCAAAATCCCTGCCCGTGGCATGGACTAGGTAGTTCGAACTCCTTGCCCACAGCTACACGCGGCACGGACTAGGTAGTTTGAATTAAAGCTCCTAATTCGAACTACCGTTATTCCTCATTACAGGAGGAGTTCGAATTAGGAGCTTTAATTCGAACTACCTAGTCCATGCCGCGTGTAGCTGTGGGCAGGGAGTTTGAACTATGGGGCATTTAAAAATGGCGACGCACGGGAACATGCAAATAAAGCCCGGGATATTTAAATCCCGGGCTTCATTTGCAAGTTTGAATGCCTACATTAGCCATCCTAGTTCGAACTAGGGTGGCAGTGTAGACATACCCCAACAGTGAAGTATTATGGATATAGGAAGGCTATTTCCCCATAACAGCCCCAGATCATTACCTTTAATGTAAGATTACGGACGGTATAGTTCTCACACTCTTGAACATTGTTAACGAGGACTTCGACTTTCCCATATATCCCTCTCTTCTCTGGCCAATAAAGCACGCATTTCTGAAAAGGAAATAGAAATGTGAATCCATATGCTAATTAAATGATTCATGGGTGGCAGGCAAAACCTCTTTGGGGAGGCTAATCCCCTGCCCACCTCTTCTGGCCAAGGCCCCACTCTCTCAGGTTTCTCTCAGTCTCCCCCATGCACCCTATGGGCCTTAACCGGGGTTGGGGCTGAAAGCTTGGCCCCAGCTTGAGGTGACCTGTCAGCCTTGGAATTGTAGCAAAGCACTAGGCCTTCACTGGAGCCCGAAGCCTGGCGCTCCGTCCCTGTTCTGCCCTTTCTGCTCATGGCCTTACCCTTTCTACTCCTTGCCTCCCTTCCACACATGGCCCAGCACTATTCTGCCCCACTCCACATCTTAACCCCTAATTTCCTGCCTCCCCTCCCCCCCACACTCATTCCTCCTCCCTCTCATCCTAAGACTGGAAAAGTTGTGTCCTGTAACTGCTCCAGAGCCCCTCCAGCGTGGGGGCCATGGTAGGGGGAGATTTTTCAAGGAGCCCCAAATTTGCCATGGCCATCCCTTCTTATCAGCACAGTATCTGTCCAAAAAGCACATGTGAAAGCAATCAAGATGATATTCCCATACGGTAAATGTCAGAAACATTAATGAGTAAAAGATTGCAGGCATCACAATGAACGTTTTAGGGGCTGATTTGTAGAGAAGCATCTGTGTAAATCAGGCCCAAACCATCTAAAGTTGGGCATCCAAAAACAGATGTATCCAAAATCGGAGGCAACTTTTGAAAACTAGCCTTCAAAATATTAATCCATTATTACTGAACACTTATAGTAATATTTTATGCTTTAAAATGAAACTAATTTTTACTAAAGAAAAATACGTTACACAAAAGATAAATTCAAGATTCAAGTTGGATTTTTGCAGGTACATTTTTATAAACACAGAGAGTGAAATCCTGAAACAATTACTTTTTTTCTCTTCAGACAAAAGCCCTAAATGGTAATTTTGCCTGCACGAGGACTGAAACTGAATAAAAGGCCAGGATTTGTCCCACTCCCACGTAAGATTTATACCCCTATTTACTATCTAGGGCCCTGATGCACCAGAGCATCTAAAAACAAATTAAATGCATGGTTAAGTGCTTTAATAAACTGAAGTCTAAGTGTCTATTCAATTTCTGAGCTGCAGTGAAGATTAAAATGTTATTATCTTGTCTAAAATGCTAGAATAAACCTATAAATAAAGAGCATTCTTATTGAACTTGTAAAGTGATGTCCTCTTCCAGCAATGAGCCTGCCAAGCATCTGTTCAAAGGCAGATGCAGAACAAACAGTAAATATCAAACAGTACCTAAAAAATCAAACAGTCTCTCAGGTAGAATGCCAATTTTATCTGCAGCATAGCTACCATTCATTTCAAATAAATTTCTCATGACGTTTACAAAAACATTTTAGTATCCAATACACAGAACCATCTTACCCTAAATAGAACAAACTAGCCTACAGTGAACCCTCGTTTATCGCGGTAGATAGGTTCCAAACCCTACCGCGATAGATGAAAATCCGCGAAGTAGAAGTAGGATCCTCAAAGCCTCGGGGGAAGCCGGCGGGGGGGCATCCCGGGCGCGCCTGGGCTGCTCCCCCGCCGGAGCCCCTCCGCGGCTTTCAAAGCCTCCGGGGAAGCCGGCGGGGGGGCATCCCGGGCGCGCCTGGGCTGCTCCCCCGCCGGAGCCCCTCCGCGGCTTTCAAAGCCTCCGGGGAAGCCGGCGGGGGGGCATCCCGGGCGCGCCTGGGCTGCTCCCCCGCCGGAGCCCCTCCGCGGCTTTCAAAGCCTCCGGGGAAGCCGGCGGGGGGGCATCCCGGGCGCGCCTGGGCTGCTCCCCCGCCGGAGCCCCTCCGCGGCTTTCAAAGCCTCCGGGGAAGCCGGCGGGGGGGCATCCCGGGCGCGCCTGGGCTGCTCCCCCGCCGGAGCCCCTCCGCGGCTTTCAAAGCCTCGGGGGAAGCCGGCGGGGGAGCAGCCCAGGCGCGCCCGGGATGCCCCCCCGCCGGCTTCCCCGGAGGCTTTTTAAAGTTTTGGTAACCGCTACTTCGCCGTTCGACCATCGCGGATTCACGTATATACATAATGTAATGAAAAAAGTCCGCGAAGTCGAGAATCCGCGATAGTCGAACCGCGAAGTAGCGAGGGTTCACTGTACATCCATAGAAACTCACGAGGGACTTTTTCTACTGTCACCAGCAACACCTGCTTCAAAGAACTATGTATATTCAGATATCAGCTGCTTAACAGCCCTCATTCCATAGCTTAAACACAGACATTGCTTTAATGTCATTCATTACCATGAAACACAATTTCTAGTACATACTGCTAAAACTGGAAAAAAATCAGTCTAGTTCAGTTTAAACATTACAGTGAAATGTAAAACTTGACCAATCAGGCACGAGCTAACTGCTGGCGTACGTTATATAACTCAATAGCGCATTGAGCAGAATGCAAGCAATCTGGAGCATAAACATTATTCTATAAATAAAAGCTCATTACCTTACTAATGTGAGAAGTGTGGCAGGCACACTTTTTGTTACTGAAATTGCACTGACCAATTTGACTGGTTTCATTGAAAGAAGAGTCATCTGTTGCATTGTAAGACTTCCAGAGTTACCATACGTCTTAAATGCTCTGTCTCTCTGAAGATACCAAGAACGGCAAGAAAACACTCTAATAAATTTATAAGAAAAAAGCGTTCAAAAGTTCAGCAGCCACACCATGTGACAGATGGCCATTATCAGCTATGTGATCTGAAAGGCATGCCCTTCCCTGGGAGGTTAGTTTTCATTGTTAATGCGGGAAACAAAAAGTCTAAATATGCGGTTGTACCCTGACTGTCGACAATGGTGCAGTCAGCTTCTGAACCTTCTTGATAAATGTGAATACTGTGTGCTGTTCTCCAAAGACTTCAGCACCTTCATAGGAATGTTTTTCTTAACTCTTTAGCAGTTCAGTAATTGGCAGTGTGCAATGGGGTGGACAATGCAGTGCTAATTAAAACAATCCTCAGTTAATATATCCTCTATATTTAATAAAATACAATAGCTTAATTTTAACAGTCTCCAAATTGGGTATGAAAATACACTTTGCCATGGCTGTGTGCAGGAAGGGAAAGAAGTTCTCTGGTCTTTAACTGAGTTATGTAAACCTGCTGAGCCCAACACTTTTCCTAGGCTATGTCTAAACTACACCCTCTGTTGGCAGAGGGATGTAAATGAAGCACTTGGAAAGTGCAAATGAAGCGGGAATTTAAATATCCCGTGCTTCATTTGCATAATCGCGTCATGGCGCTGTTTCAAACAAGCATCTTTTCGAAACTGAAACTGCAGTTTATACTCAGTTTTTCTACAATGGGGCACCTTTTCAAAAGATCCCGTACTCTTCAAAAAATGAGTTTTAGTTTCAAAATGGCACTTGTTCGAAACAGCGTCATGATGCGATTATGCAAATGAAGCACGGGATATTTAAATCCCCGCTTCATTTGCACTTTCCAAGTGATTCATTTACATCCCTCGGCCGACAGAGGGATGTAGTTTAGACATAGCCCTAGTGACATTATATTTGCTCCTTGTCAGTCATATTATGGGTCCTTGGCCCCTTTTTAAGTTTTCATTATTGGCACTCACCTATTTAAATGCTTCGTAAACATATGCCTGAGAATAAGTGGGTCTTGTAGTCATCTCACTCATAATTATGGGTAGGATTTTCAAAACTGTCTAAGAAAAGTGCCACTGACTTCCTTTGGGACTGGTGCTTCTACTTTAGGTATGTCTACACTACAGCGTTACTTCGAAATATCTTATATTTAGATACAAAAGATACAAAAGGTGCAACAAATACATATAGAGTAAAATGGGGGCCAAATTATATACTGAAATAAATGCACCGAAGTCATTGGTGGCATGACAGCAGAAAATTTGTCCTTATAAAGTTAAGTGTGGACCTGATTCTATCACTGTTACTCATGGGCTACGTCTAGACTGGCCCCTAATTCCGGAAAAGTCATGCAAAGCAGGTAAGTCAGAATAGGGAAATCCGCGGGGGATTTAAATATCCCCCGCGGGATTTAAATAAACATGTCTGCCGCTTTTTTTCCGGCTTGGGGAAAAGCCAGAAAAAAGCATCTAGACTGGCGCGATCCTCCGGAATAAAGCCCTTTTGTGGATATGCCGGTCCACCTCGTTCCACGAGGAGTAATGGTAGTTCGGAATAGGAAGCCTAATCCGAACTACCTACTCCGTGCCGCGTGTAGCCGCGGGCACAGAGTCCGAACTAGCAGGGATTTAAAAATGGTGGCACCCGGCAAGATGCAAATGAAGCCCGGGAAATTCAAATCCGGGCTTCATTTGCAACTTCGGTTGCCTACATTAACCGAAGGCAATGTAGACATACCCTCAGGGCTTCCCTTACCCATGGCCTGCAGAGCTTCTTCTCGGTCTGGGACAGCCACTGTACATGCAGCACTTGGCCTTGGTGGCTAGGGCAGCCGCTTTATGTGCAGCGTTTGGCCTGCTCGTCAGGCTGCATAGTGATTACTGAAGCTGGAACTGGGGCCACGGTGAGGCTGCCCCAGTAGGGACTCAGCACACCCCGCTCCTAGCTGTCCCACTTACCCTGTTGCTCCGTGCAGAAGGGAATTCCCTGGGAACGCAGGGGGTGGGACTAAATAAATGCTGGGGGCATGGCCTGGCAACATGCAATGGCCCATCAGACAGGGATTCGTGGTTACACAGGCTGGCAGTTGGGAACTGCTGACCCTATTATGCCGGATGAGGTTTGGTGCCTACATAAAAGATTTGAGTACTGGAAGGCCAAGATGGGAGGTGCTGCTTTCAAGCATGTGTGTGTTATATAAACAAACCTCCCTGAAATTGAGGGCATGCTGCAGAGAACAAAGGAGCAAAAATTACAGTGCTAGTTTGCCAGACAGCAGCTATTTTGTCTTCTTTGTAGGCAGTAAATATTTTACTAAAAAAGTTAATATATTGTGAATATATTGTCTGAGTAGTAAGCAAAATCCTGAACAACCCAGCGTACAATCATCAGGCAGTTCTTCACATTTCTTCCCAGAGTTGCTCATTAGAATGTCAGAACAGTTCATGTAAACACAGACCTTCTCCAAGTAGCCTGGGAACACGAAAGATGTCTCACCCTCTTTTATTAGAAGGAAATTACCACTGTCAGTCCACAACAATGCTGATAAACGCCAGTGTGGTGGGCCTGAGTAATTCAGGTAAACACAGGGTTTCCTGATATGTCGGAAACCATTGGATATGTCTTTCAAGTCATTCTTCTCCCACAGTGTTAGAAGTAAGTGTTTAAAATTCAGTAGTTCCTTAGTCAAATATTTGTTATTCTGTTATAGGGGTGATTTTTCAAAAATATTCCAATTATGAAAGTTACGCAGACATTGGTTTGGCTGGCCTCCATTATCAAAATGAGGCCTGGTGTGGAAATATGTGGGATATTTACAACACAGACATATGTTATTCAGCTTTCCTGTTTCATATATTATAAACACTGTATGCTTGCCTCTAACCTCACTGAGAAAAAGGGCCAGATTAGAGAGGAACATGCCGAAAGGACAGTATAATCCACCTTCTGTCCCTCAGTCAGAGATCAGCCACAATTACGAGCCTTGCATAAAAGTTCACTCCCTAAAGAAGGTCTGTGCACTGCTTATGTTTCATTTAAACTTTTAAAATAGGACTTGGTGATGCATAAACTTTGTGCAGTCCCTCTGCACAGGGGTGATATGCACACTCAGTGCCCTGTAGGGGTTGATTTGTGTTCTTGTACCATCATGGAAAACTAGGCATCAATTTGTACAAGTATTAAATAAAGCTAATAAAATAGGCAGGTGGGAGTCCATCCAAAAGTCACAGAAAGTATAACAGGCCTTATCTAGCCTTAGTGATTAATGAGCAATGGTCACGTATTCTCAGTGTTAACATAAGAAATTATATATTTCCATACTGGCTAGATGTGTCCCTACTCTTGACTACATGCTTCCAAAACATATTTCTCAGTATGAACTAGGATATTTTATAAAACCTGGGATGGATTCTTTAGGAGTTTGTTTGTTCCAGGCCTGGAACATAGAGATTGTATCTTCCCTGGACATTATAGCAGCCAAAAGAAGAAAATATTCTCTATATAATAAAAATTAACAGGTAATGATCCCAAAGACTAACTAAAAGCATGTGGAGTGTTTCTCATAACTGTCACCCCCCAGTCTTCAAGATATACTGGGATATGTTCTATACATCTCTTGCAGTTGCTATATAGTGGCTTATCTAGTTATCTATCTTACATTTTTCCATAGTGAATATCATCATAACATTTTAAAAGCTGGTTATCTGCTAGTATTTACTGTTAGATGTATATTCACTCTTATTTCAATGCAACCACTGGAGAAACTTCTTGGTTTAGCCAGTTGATATCATACCTCATTTTTTTCTTTCAGCTTTGTGATCATAACAATAACAGGGCTGTCTTCTTGCCAAACCATCTGCCAGAAATCATTCACGGTATTAATCATGGGACCCTGAGTTGCAATGAAAGACTTCTCCTTGCCACTGTAACCCTGGTATAGAAACAGACATAGAAGTATTTGATTTAAATTCATGCCATGCACAGAGCCCGTAGGTGAAAGTTCCAAAGAAAGAAATGGAAATCTAGACCACAAGATATATTAGAACTGAAAGCCTGCATGACTTGGTAGAGCTGGTCAAAACTTTTCCAATGGAACAGTTTTTCTGCTGGAAAATTCTAATTTGATTCAATCAAAATATTCCACTGTAATATGTTGATTCTCAGGAATCTTCCCTGACTGTCCAGCTTCTTGCCAGCCCAACCAGCTCCCTTGTTTCCAAGCCTGCCTGCTTGAAAAGTTGCTGGGCTGCCCTACCTATCAGCTCCTTGTTTGATGGGCAGGTAAGCTTCATGCCACCTGGATAGCTGTCTCCCTGCCTGGTGGCCAGGCTGCCTCTCTTTGATTGGTTCCGTAGGTGGCTGGCTTCCTGACTGTCTGACTCCCAACTGCCCAACTCCCAGTCTGCTTGGTCACCCTGCTGGGCAAATGGCAAGTTGGCAAGGCAGCCGGCTTTCCTGTTGTCAAAACAGATTGCTCCATTTCACATGAAATTCCTCAATAAATACTTTGTGCTGATGCAAAAAGAAATAAGATGAAACATTGATGCTGCAGAATTTCCCACAAAATGGAAACTAAATTTTAAGGCCAGCTCTACCTGTTAATTAGTATTTTTGCCATAGTCAAAGGATGTTGTTGTTAGCCATAAAAACATCTGAGAGACCAGAACAGAAATATTAAACTAAGTAGTATCATGAAGGTTTATTAAAAAGAAAAAGATTTTGAATATGTTAATCCTTATATACTCAGAAGCTCCAATTTATACTTGAATAGAAAATGCCTCTGAGACCTTTTATGTGGGACATTCTGAGAACCTTGAGAAAACCTGAAAATTATAAGCAAGCAAAGGAAAGAAGGAGGGAGTGGGGAAATGAATGAGTCATGGCTATAGTCATCTTTATCATGTAAAAAGGAAAACCTGTGAACTTGTACACTGAACTTAGGCTCAGCATTAAAGGAATTCTTTTGAGCCTTGTTGGCTACAGAAGACTTTGAATTATTCAAAAAGGAATGAATTATTAAAGAATAAAATGATTGGCAGAGCAGAGCCAGAGATTGTAAAACCCTTTCCCACAAATTCAGGGACAATGGAGTAATCCAATGACTGACCCATTACACAGAACAATGGGGCAGGTCCTCAGCTGATATAAATTATCATAGCTGAGTTAAGTGATATGCCTCAACATCTCTTGTCAAAGACAGGTATGTTGGAACATTCAGAAAATCAACAATACCATCACATCTAGGGTGCTTTAAAATATACTGAGTTCATGAGAAATTTCATTTACTCACTGTTACATTTAAAAAAAAATAATTGGCAATATTACCCATGTCAGCAATATGAAACATCACAGTACTCTATCCCTTTAAGGGAAGCAATAGTTCACAGGACTCCATACATAGCTTAATTTCTCTTGCTGATTTACAATCAGTATTAATGTTCTTTAAATGGAATCATTCTCCTTCACTATGATATCTGTGATGCAAAGCCTTGAAAGTTACAGATGTGAAGTGAGGAAAGTAATATGTGTGTGTATTGCTATTTTTAAAAAGCAGAATGACGTGTTTTATTAAGCATTTCTGCTTTCCAGTGGAGCTGTGGAAAGTCTCAAGAAGTCAGACTTAAAAATTATGAAATTTGTAGACAGTGAAAATTTATTTTAGGTCACTTTTATCTTCATGTGAAACTTTCACAGCTGGGCTTTGTAGTGTGTTCCTACCTTGCTTCTTTGAGCACGCTCCTGTGTCTGGGCATGGTGCTGCTGTTTTTTCAGCTCCCTACAGGAGCTGCAAGTTATCAGTTGGCCTCTGTAGATTTTCTGTGGCTTGGCCCTCCAGCAGGGTCACACAGTTCAAATCCCCTCCAAGGTACAATAAACTCAAATGGAAGAGGTGCCTTGCCCTTGGAGATCAGTTATAATGAAAACAGTTTCTTACCCATCAGAACTTAATTCTCTTTCCAAAATCAACTCAGCAGGGTGTTTCCAGCACACCTGTCCTCCACTAGCCTGGTTCCTTTGGCTGGAGGCTAGGGAGAGCCCGTCCTCACTCCCCTAGTTCCAGGCAGGGTCTGGTTTGCTGACATCAGGCAGCTTCTTTTATATCAGTCTGCTGAGCCTTGATATGCTGTTGTGGGTCCCCAGCCCTTCTGGCTGTTGCAGGACCAGGACAGTACTTACAAATTAGGGGGTTCTATGCAACTGAGGGCTCCTCCCCAACTCATGAAGCTTCTGCTGGGGCTTTTCTTGCCCCCCTCCCTCTCAATGTGGCTTCTGCCGGGGTCCTGAGGCCCAGGGCTTCCCAACTACCAGCCCATACTACTTCCCTCTCTTCCCTGCCCTCACGCAGCTTCTAGTGGGGCTCTGGGGATTCCCTGGAGCTGGAGTGGAGCTGCAGAGACTGGGGGCTCCTCTCTGCCACTAGTCTGGCAGCAGGAAGCTGTCACTAGTGGACTGCTGCTGGCTGAGAAGAGCACGTGGGGGAGGGGCCAGGGACAGGGAGAAGTCCTGCAGCGCACAAGAGAGAGCAGCTCTGGAGATGGGCCAGAGAGGAACCAGCAGTGGCATATGCTGAGGCATACAAGAACACACATCTGCATAGGGACACCCAAAAATTTGGTACTCCAAATTTTCAGGTGCCCTACACACTTGAATATTTTGTGCATGTCTAGTGATGGTCCTGACCAGATCTCAATGGTGCCCAATAAGACACCTCCTGAGATGTCTTTCCAGGCAAGCCTGGAGGTCCAACACTCTCATAAAGTTATTTCCTGGGGCAGGGTGCAGCAGAGCAGTGGGGCCGTTCTGGCTTAGTGCACCCCATCAGAACCTCATAGAGCCAAACCTCCACATAGCCATGTGGATTTACTTTAGGTGAGGAGCTGGGCCATATTGGTATTAAGACATCTGGTAGAAGGATATGAAAACTGTCTAGAACATTTTTAAAGTAGTTTCTTTGTAATATAGTCTAAGATACAGAGTTCATGATGATGGGATGTAGTAAGAGATTACCAGTGCTCCTTTGGGACTACCTGCATAATCTGTCTTGACCCTCAGAAGTCATGCTTCTTACCAGGACTCATGCTAGCAAAGTCCATTTAATGGCACATCATCATGTATTCTCTATGTATGTGTCTGCCTGTCGGATACATTTATTTACAAATTTTTGCACACACATATTAGAGCTGGTTGAAAAAGATGAATTGAATTATTCAGATGATATTTTCATCACAGATTTTATATTTCATCTGAAGAAGTAGGTTGTGCCCACAAAAGCTCATGATACCATCTACATATTTTGTTAGTCTTTAAGGTGCTCCTAGACTATTTGTTGTTTTTTAAGTTTTTCCTGTTACAGACTAACTCTGCTACCCCTTTGAAGATTATATAATGGGTCTGACTGTGACAGCAATGGACTGGACTTGAGAGGTCCCTTCCAGACCTATGTCTTATGTGAGTATTTCTAAAATCATTAACCTTTGTCCTTCATTCCTAACCTTTCCACACTGTTTGTCATTGTGTCACATCTAAATTATAGGTCCCTTTTATCTACTGTGAGACATTTAGCATGCAAGTAGACTTACACAAACAAGAACAATAAATGAATAATATTAGTTGTCTCATTTGATTACTTTTATATTTTTCAATAAAGAATTTTATAAATAAATATTTATATTTATTATCAAAGCAGGTTAATTATTTATATAACTCCAGGATGCTTTGTTATAAACACCCTATTATGACCACTTTATCTCACTAATAGTGAGAGAAAGGTAGGATAGATATGATCCTTATATGACACAAGGTGAAGTCTACAGAAATAAAAGCAGAGTGGAGTCCTAACAAAATCAACTATTTAGCTGGAAAATAGAATACTGTCTCAGGAGCACACAAAGAATGTGTGTTTACTTACCCTAATGTAATTAGCATTTATGTAGGTGCTCAAGGAGTCAGCTGGATTCTTTGGTTTCAAACACACTCTGCTTAGTGGATCTAAGAGGACAGAAAAGATGGACATTGAAAAGAAAATCACAAAGAAAAGATTTCTGTGGAGAATCACAGAAGTGAATCAACAACTGGCTGGAACAAAGTAATCTATCATTATCTGCGTGCTGCATTTGCATTTTTGGTGAAATTCTCTTTTAGGGCGCATCTACAGAGCACCCTAAACTCGAAATAAAATACGCAATTTGCACTATGCAAATTGCGTATCTTATTTTGAAATAGCTTATTTTGAAATGTGGCACATCTACATAGTGTGAAATTTTGAAATAACGTGCTATTTCAAGCCATCCCTTAACCCTCATTCAACAAGCTTTACTGGGATGGTGAAATAGCACACTGGTTATTTAAAAAAATATTTTGAAATAACAGGCAGCTTGTGTAGACATGGGGTAGCTATTTTGGGATACCTCCAGTATCCCAAAATAGCTGCGTTGCGTAGACTTACCCCTAGACTGAGCATTGACAAATGACCTAAACATCATGTGAGTTCCTTTAACATCCATGTTCTCAAGGTTAAATGAGCCTTAAATCAGGCAAAGGCATTGTGTTGATCCTTCTGCACAGTGCAAATTGTCTTTTTGTATAGAAGGAACATTCGTTGTAACTCAACATACAAACATTCCATTTGAACAGGCATCGTGTATCTGGAGATATGTATAGCCAAACGATAAGAACTTTTTCCTTCAATTGCCTATTATTTTAGGGGCAAATCCCATTCCTAGTCTCCTCCATGGCCTTGGAGTGTGGTCCTAGTTGGTCCGGGAGAGAAGCAATTCTGTTGAGCACAGGGCTGGTGGGATGCTAAATCCCTATGCAGGGAATTTTTAATCTCTTGTGCATTATGGAGCTGGGCTCATGGGGAATCTCTTCACCCTAAAGGATTGGAACTGAGACTACATTTCTCAGTTGTTTAGATCTACTCAACAGTCCCCTCTATGAAAGAACAGAGAGGAAGGTGCATAGGAACCCACCATATAATTGCCCAGTAGGCACTATTTTACAGTCATCCATTCATTTTCTGCAAAAATGTCATCCCTTCAAAATCAAACAGAAACTGTGTTCACTCACATTTAGGGTGAAAAAAGGAAGCTCTTCTCTGGCAGATTGCATAGACAAATAAAACAAAAGTAGCAGCTGTTTGAAGTTACCATACCTACTCTGCTGGAAATAGTCCCTGAAGAGAGGATTAGTGGGCGGAATCCAAGCAAAGTGTAAAAAGGTCATGTGTATTGAATTGTGAAACCATATGCTAAATTCTCTTTATCAGGGGGCTATAACCATCATACACATTATTTTATCTATTGGTAAAATCTAGTCTCTGCACAGCATTGTATTTGGGGTTCTAGTCTATATCTTTCCAGTACTTATCTTTGTCTAGAACAAAATGTAAAGTGGGTCTGACACGCTCTAACTCCCACTGAAGACAATGGGAATCCATTGCTTGGAGTCATAACAGGATTTAGACAAATGTTTTATAATGTATATATTCTCAGAATATGGAACAGCATTTATATCCTCCAGTTCAGGCTGTAGGACAAGCAGGAAGCCTTTCCCATTATATGTGTTCATAGAGTAAAATGAACCCTAGTTAGCCTGTGTTAAAAATGTCTCTGTTTGCCATCACAAACCTCTTCACTTAGGGATTTTTTTCCCCTTTCCCTTAACAATATGAGGACAGGAAACTTCTCATTCCTTTTCAGTACAGAGTGATTATTAGCCATTTCCACAAATGCCTTAGGCTACATGGCCTTGGAAAAAACACACTTCCTTTAGTTTTCATAATGCCTATGATCTTGATGTGGTCTGACCTCTACACTAAAAATGCTCTTAGAATAAGACTCATCCTTCAGCCAATTTAATTTTTTCATGATGAATTTCCCCAGATATTAATGAATTGCTAAATATTTTATTAAGATATTTTTATGATTCCAATTAATTAACTGGCCACTATTTGAAAATCATAATGAATACATTAATAATCACTTCCACATATTGTTTCTGTTTACAAAACAGATACATGCTACTTATGCTGCTTTACAATGAGGAGACATTGTTTAAGTAGCAATGGGAATTATTCTATTATTCACAAGTTGGAACAGTTAAATTAGCCATGTGATTGATCTTTTGGACAAGAATGGCAAAGACTCAGGATCTGGTGTCAGGACAGGAAACATATATTATGGAGTGGTTGTGTTGAAGCATGAGATACAGAAGATGCTATGAAAGTGCTGAGTATTATAATTATGAATGCCTGCAGGTGTAAGTGGCATTTAAACAAAGGACCCCATTTTGTATTCTTTAGGGAGTAAAATTACCATTGCCTTCTTTCATGTTCTCCAGTAACACATGGACAGCTCCTACTTTCTCTGTCTTTAAGAAATCACTAATATCCTATTTCTGTCATGATTCATGCACGTTTCACAGGTCATATCACAATCTGTATATATCCTGGCTTGTATGTTCTTTTTTTCCTCTCATCATTCTTTGTATGCCTTTAGATTGCAAGTCCTCTGGGGGAATGGGGAGAGTCAGAATAGTTAAAATATAGATATAATATTTCACATGATTATTAATAATGAAACATTCATCATTCTTGCCCCCAATTCTGACTCCCTTACTCAACGGATGTTCTGAAATGTGCAAAAGGCTGGTTTCGTGGTACTGCTCTACCGGAGTCAGAGAAAAGAAATTCACTTCGCATATTTGCTTAATCCTGCAGACTCAGAAGTCTCACAAAAATTTGGATAAACCATGATTAGCAGATATTATTTGGCTAATATTATAAGGTGGAATTTGAAAATATTGTATGAGTCACGGATCTTTATTCATGCAGCAAATTTCATAATTCACTCAAATTCCAGCTGTATAAAGCACTTGTAAACCATGTACAATCCTTTATCAAATTTGAATCACCTTCCAAACTGTCTTCATCTTACTCACTGGAAAAATATCTCATTAATTCAGAGTATGTAAATATATGCATATGTTAAAGCCTATTTTAGTGCAAGAAAGATTCAATTATATTCCACATGTAAAGGTGATCATTCCTACATGTTCAAAAGCAATACTAACCACACATGCATTATGAACTAGAGTTGCCAATTTTGGATAGATATATTCCTGGACATTCTATCACATGACATAATCTTTAATTCCTGGGGTCTCCAAGACAATCCTGGAGGTTTGGCAACCCACAGTTGTACACTGCTGAAATATCAGGGGATGGTTGACTGTACCCAGATTAATGTATTGATTCAGATGAACATAAAGAAAACCTACTTAATATATCTGTGCTGACACCTTCCACTTTTTTCCTGTGACTTTCCATGTTCCAATTTTTTCCTTCCACTTGCAAAATAAAGAATCTTTTAGAACCTGTTCACAAGGAGCAGGATTGGAGAAACAATGGTAAAACACAATCAGTATCAGAACTGTGGGAAAATCTCAAGGGAGACTGAGGAATTTCAGCTTCAAAAGAATTGTTTCAAGGCATCCAGAGAGGACTCATGCCTGCCAGTAGTGGAGCAGAGGGGCAGAGTCAGGGAAGTCAGCTTTTAGCATTGTTATTAAGCATGCTCAATTCATGTGAGGATGCTTAGTATAAGACAAGTAGCAAATCAGGAAGTCACAGAACCCCAGATTACCCCCTACGTCCACCCATGCATCACCTCTGAGGGCATCTGTTTATAAACTAGCACAAGGAAGCATTTTGATCACTCAGTTTAAATTTAAGTGTAAAAAATATTGTCTTTAAATTTGGGGATACTTTACCACATAATTGTAAAAGGCCTAGCACTTTCTAGCAATCTTACAGTGAAATTCTAGTGTTAGTGTAGGAGCACTAAGAATTGTATGCTGCAATTAAAAAATCTGCTCTTAAAAAAGTGTTTTGAAACAGCTACCATTACATTTTTATTAATTCCATTAGGTATTCATTATACTTCTTATTAAAGAATAGGACAAAATAGTGTTTCTTCATGGCAGCCTGTCCTACTGCAGTCTGTCATTTAACAGCTTGACAAAATTATTTATTAGAAAAAGAGAACTTTTCAGCAGCACAAAGGGTGGAGTACCAGAACATGGACATTTTCAGGCGAAAAATTAATCATTTCAAACATCACTTGTCACTACAGGTGCCCTAGTTCAAGAGACGCACCCAGTGCTTGGAATGGAAAAGCTGACACAAGAGTACTAAGCAGAAGGTTGAGATCATCTGAGCAGGAAACTGGGAAGGCTGTTCTTTTAAAACCATTCAATTTCCAAACCCTTTGGGCCTGGGAGTGGAGCATTTGTGTATTTATCAGAGTGTGCTTGATCCCTAAAATACCTTCTGTAGAGAGCACAAAGCGTATCTTTGGAAGTAATAGATGACTGGTTTTTACACCCATTTTCTCTCGATTTCTGTAAAAGGCAATTACAAATATCTGTCTAAGACTCTAGCGGTTGTGCAGAGCATGTCAACTAAAAGTGCATCCAGAAGTTAATATCTTTCTCAATTACAATGAAAATACAAAGGCATTCCAATTGTTAAGAGTTATTGACTACTCCGTACACTGTAGCTATCTAATTCAAATACAAATAAGCTATATCAGTGGTCCCCAACCATCTCGTTAATTATCTCAGGTGTTTTTCTGCTTTTAGGAGTTCTACGAGGAGTAACGGTAGTTCGAATTAGAGATCCTAATTCAAACTACCTACTCCGTGCCGCGTGTAGCCGCAGGCATGGAGTTCAGACTAAGGGACATTTAAAAATGGCGGCGCCTGGGAAGATGCAAATGAAGCCCGGCATATTTAAACTAGGTTTGAACTAGGGGGCTAGTGTAGACATACCCACTGAGTGGAGGCCTCGGCTGCCTGGCAGGGGATGGGAGGGGGGCTCCCTCTTCTTGGGGGTTTACCTGGCTCCTTTCTTCTTCACTGCTGCAGCCTGGACTCCACAGCGCGGGCGGCTAATTTGCGCCCAGGGCCGACCCCCTCTCCAAGCGCCT